TGTGTTTTTGTTAAATATGTTGTTAAAATGTTTGTTTGATCATTTGTTAACAAACAAACAAAAAAGATACATAAATATTTTTATAATTTCTAATTAAGATACATTTTGATAAATCAGAAATGACCCAATTTACCTGAAAAGACATTTGTCTGGAGTGCATGAAGTAAACAAAGGTAATAAAGACAAGACAAGTGTCTGGTATCTAAGTTTCAAGTTTAACAAAAAAGTGGCCCACTTTACATGAATTCACCCTAAAAACAGAAGCTGAAGCATATTGAAATGGAAAACGTTTTTGCAGATTTTTTATTTTTTTTATTTTTATTTAACAATAGGCCTACATCATGTGCCAGAAAACAAGAGAGGTTTCGGTTTGGCCTACAGTTCAAGCCACGGGAAGTTTGTCCCATAACATAAACGGTATTCAGACTGCATAATTTCTAAGAGAATGACGATATAGAGAGGGCAGATCTTGCAGATTAAATCTGATGTAAACAGTGGATAATATATCAATATTTCTTGGATTTAACTGTTTTTCATAAGACGCTTTCTTTAACAATTTACCAAAGTGCAACGGGTTGGGTTCGTCTCGCGATTGATTATTTGTAATAAAGGCATGAAAGTGGTCCTGTTTTGATTTTGCATGTTTTTATTTGTACTCCTGACAGAAATATAACCGTTGAAGCATCAAATGGAGACCAGATGATGATGCTAAACCCTTTTCAAAACAAGCAAGATAGGCTAATTTGTTGATATTACAAACATTTGTGGGAAATATAGGCCCTATAGTAAAAGTTAAAAACAGCAAGTTTTGCACGAGCCGTTTCCTTGGTTTGATATTTTGTCAAATGCATAATAACATTAAGACACAGTCCATTTAAATATGACTTAGGTGTCTAAAATGTCAATGCCGTTATGTAAGAAAAGATCACTATTGCATTTGATTACTGGCCTAGAAGTAGTGTAGAATTATACTCTTCAGAACTCTATTTTATAAAATTATTTTATAAAATAAAATAAAATTCCCAGGTTTTCAATGTGGTTTTAGACTTACAGCTGGCAGGTCTTTGTTCTGGTGGTGTTTTAAAGATCCACTGAAGTGCCTTGAAACTCGCAGCCTTATTCTTTGTGTTTGCATAATTTAAACTGAAGCAGGAAGACATATCGAGCAGTCCTGCCCCCTTTTTTAAATAGCCAATAGCGCTTCGTTTATATTTTTTCAATTATATAATCAAAATCTTTGATTCAAGTTTTGAATGCTTATATTTCCTAAATGCAAGTTTTGTTTTGGAGCACACTAGCTAATAGATAAACTTGATCATATCCATACAAAAAAATAATAATCATTTTTGATTTCATGGGGACTTTAAGCCCAGAATTGACGTGGTGTGTCTGTCTCATTCCAATAAATCTGCATCTTATGAGAAACTTCGGAATTTGCCCAGGAGATGGAAACAAACAGCCCTTTTTTCTGTCTCTGCATTTACTAAAGCTGTATGTTTTTAATCTAGAAGTCAAATCCAGATCGTATTGATCTTTTTATGTCACAGTGTTGTTGGCTCTCATAAGGGGGAACAAGGGACAGAAACCAACAGGTAAATACATAAACGTGTTTTATGACACATTTATCTATAGACCACACCATGTGTTAAACAGATGTTTTCTGCCTGATCCTCAAAACAACAAAAGATTTAATATCATACAGTATCAAATCTATTCCGAGCACAGCGCTGAGTAAATTCAAGTGCACATCTTTAATCATTTATAAGGTGTGTAGATCTAGTGTCACAAAGACATCATCACACAAAGAGCATCCTGATGTTTCTAGCATAGTCATGAAAAGCATTTATTATTTATGTATTTATTTATTTAATGCATGGATGAATGCATACATGTATGCATGCAGGAATGCATGTACTGTATGCACACAGGAATGCATAAATACATGCATGAACATCCATTCCAGGAAGTGAACTTTATTTTTTTTGCAGACAGCACTAAATCACTGTGTTCAATTACTGCCAATCAATCATATTTCTTAATAATAAAGCAGTCAGACAACCTGCTGTTAGAGAATACGCTTCTGTCATATGTCTGGTTTTCTTTCTCTCAGTGTCTCTCCTGCCGAAGTTCCCACAGGTGTATGTTGGAGATGACGTCACTCTGATCTGTAACCATAAAGGAGGGAGTAAACCAACAAAATGGATTATTGATGGAACACAACAATCACATCTGAATTATTCAGTTATTCTTCTTACTGCAGTGGCACCAAAAAACAACGAGGCGTATGAATGTGAGCAGGGCGGACCGAGAAGTGACCTGTTCACACTCACTGTACTGGGTATGAACACCATCCTAAACGTTCATGATCGTCTGTTCTGTTCCTCCTCCTGTTTCTCATGACCTCTCTCTCTCTCTCTCTCTCTCTCTCAGAGCTGGAGCCTCACGCTCAGCTCTCTCCATCTGTAGGAGGTGCTGTGATGACCAAAGGAGAAGGAAGACACCTGATGCTGCAGGCGGACGATGGTCAATGGAGTCAATGTTAATGAGAAGATGAAGAGAGCTGTTATATTTGCTGAATTGAAAGGGGCAGAAAGAGTCACCTTCTGGTGCAAGAAAAAGAAAACAGAACATCGAAGCAACGCAGTGACGCTGAAAATGACAGGTGACTCCTTACTCCACTTCCTGTTGTATTTCAGATCACCTGTGTGTAGTTAAAGTGACTGGACGGGGTAAAGATAATGACATGCTGATGAGTGTACGCTTTGAGCGAAGGAAGGATTTTTCAGGCCTAGACAGTGGGAGGAAATCAATATGAAGAACTGAAAGCCGAGAAACAGGAGACGAAAGAGCCACGCAAAGAGAAAGAATGAGGGAATCTAGAAAAAAGCACCACCTTAATGTTAACCAATAGTCATATAGCTGTTTTTAGCCATTAAAGGCAATGGCGTCTTTCTATAAACTCGCCAATCATTAACAGTAGTTTAATTCTGGCTATCATTACTGTAATAAAGAGGATAATATCAAATAATGATTAATGTGAAAAAGAAGCATCACCATATGTGAAGATGCTTTAAAGGAATAGTTCACTCAACGAACCCTCAAGTCATCTAAGCTGCAAACAAGTTTGTTTCTTCATGATTTCTTTCACAGATTTGGAGAAATGTAGCATTGCATCACTTGCTCAGCAATGGATCCTCTGCAGGGAATGGGTGCCGTCAGAATGAGAGTCCAAACAGCTGATAAACACATCACAATAATCCACAAGTAATCCACACCACTCCAGTCCATCAGTTAACAATCTTGTGAAGACAAAAGCTGCGTTTTTGTAAGAAACACATCCATCATTAAGGCATTTCACTTGGCGAGCAAGTGATGGAATGCTACGTTTCTCTAAATCTGATGAAGAAACAAACTCATCTACATCTTGGATGACCTGAGGGTGAGCACATTTTCAGCAAATTTTCATTTCTGGGTGATCTATTCCTTTAAGAAGGTGAACACAACCTTCAGCCTCCACGTAAACAAGCATCCAAGCACACACTTCACATATGACATTCCCACACAAATACACAAAGAATAAGAATAAATTCATGTGAATATGTGCATAAAGTTGCAGATACATATTGCACTAATTATGCTATTAAATGATCAACGCTGAGTTTATCTGTGAGGCTGAAGAGCACTGACACCATTAAACAACATTAGTACTGAAGTTTCTACTAGTTTTTACGTTTATGTTTTTATGTCACGCTGTTTTGTATGTTGCGTTTGTATGTAACTTGTCCTGACTATAAAAAGCAATGCATTTTCAGCTTTATTAATTGAGGATGTGCATCAGATAGAGCACAGCTGTATAACTGAATGCAATATGCAATAATAAGCTTTTGTTGCAATGCAGCTGTAGTTCAGTCTTTCTCCACTAAAGGGCAAACTGGTGTATCGTCAAAGCCAGTCGTGTCAAAGTTCATCACAAGAGGTCACTGCAGGATTGATTTGCTTTCCTGGTTACACACACTGGTTATTGGTTTTGTCAGTTAATCTGTTTATTCTTGTTCCTTGTATAGCATCTTTTGTAATTCTGAGTGTTCACATTAAATGATGTATAAATTAGGTTATAGTCTGTTTTTTCTGGTGTAACTAATACAGATTCATTGCTTTTTCTTGACTATCTGCTCGTTGACGTCAGCACTTTTCTATCTATTTTTTTTATATAAATGAATAATGTGTAAACAAATATAAATATATATATAGGTAGAAATAAATTCATATTATAAATAATGATAAAATCTTACAGTAGACTGAAAACAGTATTTTGACCTTAAGTCTCAGTGTTTGCACACCTGCATTATTATATAGTATTATATAGTAATAATCACAATGATTAAGTTTAATCATTTAATCATTTAAGTTACTTTATCACAAGTTTTTTTACATTCACATTTCACAACATAGAACAAATACGTAGGAAACAAACCCCAAGAAACAAAAAGAAAGAAGACACAAACGCAGTGATGTGTTACAAACGTATCCTTCTACAGAGACGGGATTTCATCATCATCTTGTCATAATCAACTTATCTTAATTATTCAGAGAGACGACCACAGAAATATCAAATCATTTCTATGGGATCTTCTTGATTGATATTAAAGAAACAGTTCACCCAAAAATCTAAATTCTGTCATTTACTCGCTTTCATGTCGTTCCAAACCTGTATGTAATACTTTCTTCTGTGCTATATATATATATATATATATATATTCATTCATATATTAATTTATGCCGATTTTAATAAAAATAATCATGAGAAAAAAATGTTTGAGGAATACACACGTATATTTTATAATTTTTATTATAATAAAGTTTAATAAATATTGTAATATATTAAAATGATAAATGAATATATTAAAATATAATTTAAAATATTAATAAAAAATATTTTTTTATAAAGTACTTCTATTAACTTTCTTCATGCAAAATGAAATTTCAGATTATTTTTTCTTAATTACTGGGAAAGAAATCACGTTTTGTTTTAAGTTCCACAGATTCTTACACAGAATGAATAAAGCTATATAGGTTTGGGGCGACACGAGGGTGAACAAATGATGACAAAACTTTCATTTTTGTGTGAACTACCTCTTTAAGATGCTGAGGAGTGCATGAGAGTATATTGAAAATGTCAAGTGTCATGCTGGAGAGAGAGAAAGTGCTGATATAACATCTGAGTTTAAACTGTGTTATTTCTGTTCAACCATAACAGCAACTAACCTGCAGGCTCATCTCATCTTCTCAACCAGCATTTTATGGTTCTGTTTTCATCTATATGTGAAATTAAACAGCAAAACGGTGAAACAGAAATAGCGTTTCTACTAGTGATCTTTCAATATCATGTTGTTCAGGTTGAGTGGAAGCCCTTCACACAAACAGCCAGCGCTTGGCATTGTTTTTGTAGGACTTGGAACAAAAAAATTTACATGTTTTTACATGAAAGGCTGGACATGATTTTTAATTAAACAAATTACAAATCAAAGAAATGTTTCAGTTTCAATAAAAACGAAGATCTATTGTCAGCATTTGTGGGATAATGCTGATTGCCACAGAAAATAATTTCCCCAGCAAAAGTAAAAGGAAAATTGCAGCTACACAAAGGGAAAAATAATTTTCTGTGCCACAAATGGTGTTGATAGAGATGAACTTTTATTGAACGCTGAATATTCTATACTTTACTATGTGGTTATGAATTAAATACATACAAATATAAATAAAAGATTTAAAAAAAAATTATGTTTAAAGAGAATTTGCCATCAAAAACTATGTCAGTGCTTCTATAAGCTCATCCAAATAGTTGATATTGCTAGTCTTTAAAAATGTATTTATCTATGAGATTCTCATTGAAAAGGGACCAATACTACACACACCTCACAGTATTGGCACATGAGATCAATTCCCTAAATCTGGTTTAGTTTCGTTTTTTTAAATGGAATTATACTTTAGTAGGATTTCATTTGTAAAAATCACCTTTTACAGTCTTGTCACAATTTAGGGAGAATGGCAGTAATATTTCATAACAGCAATACTGCTGCACTCTTGATGATCAGTTTAATTGCTAAAATACACGACCAGGGAGTCAAAAGTTTGGACCCAGTGACTAAAATTATGTTTTGTACCTTCAAACATTTGTCCACATGCACTCAAAACAGACACATACACACTCCGACTCACACTTCTGAGAAAGATCTGATGTTAATTATGTTATTTTTTCTAGTTTGGGTCAAAACCACTTCCTCCATCCCAGTCAGTTTCTGTATGGGAGGAATATTCAGTCCTTGTTTTCCACCCTCCCGTTCCCATCCAGCTTTACTCTTGATCTCTGAGCCTCACAATCATTCGCTCATTGCCCTCTCCTCCGTACAGGAAGCTGTTCGTTCCCACAGGTTGGACGTATTCCTCCGTTTTGTCCCAGTCTGAGGCCCAGCTTCCACCAGCTCCGCCCCCTCCGGTCCCCGCCCCATTGGGGTCACCTGATTGGATGGTTGCCCCGTAGCCGCCACCCGTTGAGTGGTACAGCTCTTCCGTTTCATTCGCCAGCTCATCTTCTCCTAATATCCCACATTTGTCCTCGCTCATGTTCTCTGGCTCCGCCCACGACTGCTTCTCTCCTGATGCGAAGATACCTGAACGTAAAGAAATCGTCACTATGAGCCGAGATTTACAGTGTCATCTATTCATTTAGCAGATGTGAACCTCACAAAAACAGTCAAGAAATGTGTTATAGTCCAGCCCCAAAACCAAAAGTTATTTTAAAAAATGCCTTTTTTTATGACCACACAATTGTTTTCAAAAACATGATTTTTTTTTTTACTTTCACAATTTTGTAGCTAGTGTTATTTCAGTATTAATGAGTTTTTATTCATATTTCGAGTTTTTATTTTAGATTTATATAAATTTTTTAAAGTCTATATAATTTTTATTACAGTTTTAAACTAAATGAAAATGAGGAATTAAATAAGTTAAGGTTTACTACTAAAAGTAACGACAGGATGATTTTCATAAATGAAACATAAATGTCAAAGAATTTCATGATGCAAACATTATTTATAATTAATTCAAATATAAAATTAAAATAACAATAATACTAATACTAAATACTAAATATATACATAAATAAAATGTTATTTAATATAAGTTTTTATATTAATTTATATTAATATGTTAGCTATTATTATTATAATTAACATGTATTATTATTAAATTCTTTACGCAAAATTAAGTTTTAGGATTTAGTTTTTGTTTTTTGGGAGGCAAAAAAAGATCCAGTTCATCATCATACAGTTACTCTACATATGACATAAGCACATTTGGAAATGGATGGAAAGAAATGGACAGAAATATTCACCGTAGAAGATAACTCCACCATAATGAACAAGTGATGCGATGAGAAACACATACTGCCACTCCTCCCGCGTCTACAGAGACAAACACACAGGATGAGAATGGATGGTTATGTATGTGTATAGATATATGTATATGCATTTAAGCACATAACATGCATATCCATCAAAGTGTACATAAGTGACTTTTCAGATAATGTAAATATGTATAAGTTGGAATATCAGAAGAATTAAGCTAGAACTGAAGGCAACGAGAAAAGGAGCTGTAATATAATGACAGGAAAGCAGAGAGGTGTGAAAATGACACATGATCTCTGAAGATGTTATTAGTAAAAGCGTGAATCAGCTGTAAACACGATCAGCACATCCAGCACAACAAACTCTCCCTTCCTCTACAGGAATACCTTGTTTTTGGTCATGGCACCGACGATCAGAGGACAAACCATGCCAGAGAGCGTCCCGACACCATTAGAGATGCCCATCAGAATACTGGCGTAACGAGGAGCGATGTCCAGATGATTGACATTGAACCCTGGAGGATTGGACAGAGGTGGGAAGACAACAGTTTATGAAAGAAGTCTCTTCTGCTCACCAAGGCTGCATTTATTTGATCAAAAAAACAGTAAAAATGTGAAATATTATTACAATGTAAAATAACTGTTTTCTATGTGAATCTATCTTAAAATATAATTTATTTTTGTGATGCAAAGCTGAATATAAATATTAAAAAACAAACAACATAAAACAATTATAAAAGCACATAACAAAATTACAAAAAATTCATATATAAAAATGAAAGCTCATTCAAATAACGATAAAAAAATAACACTAAAATAACACCGGTTGTAGTCTTTCCTGTAACCCCAGACTTTTTCTTACCCGAGATGGCAAAACCACTAAATCCAACAGCAAGCACCAGAAACGAGATGGCGACACCCTTAGTGTGAGAGAAACCCACAACCAGAAGAAACGTGGCCTCCAACCCGAAACCTGAACACACACACAGAACATGTGACGCCTCCGTTAGCCAATCAACAGCTCCAGTGGGTCAGTCACATGACATTTACGGCTCATTTGTAGCAGAATGCAGAGCTGAATGTCTGAAAACAGGCTTTACCTCCACAGTTCATGAGTTTCCTGACGTTTGTGGTGGTCATGATGTTGTGACTCCTCAGGTAGTCGGCCAGCTGTCCTCCGATTGGCACGATGATGGTCATCACCAGATGAGGAAGAGCAGAGAGGATTCCAACCTGAAGACAGACAGAAGTGTTTTAATTTAAGTATTTTCTTTGGAAAATAAAAATCAGTCACTAGTCATCATCCAGTGAGTATAGAGCTAAGAATGTATAAACCAACAACAACAGTGATGATGATGATTTCTATTTTTGTTAAGAACACCGAATAACCAACATTGACTAATCAAATATTAATAAATCCTAATATTAAAAAGAATAATAATAATATTTTTTATTATTAAAACTATTATTCAATGTCCATAATAATAACAATTATTAGTAGTAGCAGTAGTATTAACATTAAATTGTTATTCTTTTTATTATTATTATTGTTATAATTATTAACAATAACAATAAACATAATTATTATATATGATGAACACTCAACAACCAACGCTAATTCATCAAATTATTATTATTATTAACACTGAATAACCAACACTGACTAATCAAAATATTATTATTATTAATACACTTTCACACACACTTTACATGAATGCATGTAAACTACACTTAAAATATATATTAATAAAACAATTAAATATTAAATAAATAATATAATATTAAAATAAAACAACAACAGGAGCAACAATAATAATACTAATAATTGTATTATTATTATTATTATTACAAACACTGACTAATCAAAATAATACTAAGATTAATATTTATTATTATTAGATTATTCAGTGTGCACAATAATATTAAAACTACTCAAAATATTATTATTATTATTATTATTAGCACTCAATAACAACACTGACTAGTCAAAATATTATTATTATTATTATTATTATTATTAGCACTCAATAACAACACTAACTAATCAAAATATTATTATTATTATTGAGAACTATTGATTGCAAAGCACAGAGACATTATTGAGATCTCTTCTGAAACTCTAGAGGAGTCTTTCACTCTGCAGGAGAAACATCTGGGACTTCAGCAAAGGTCTGTAATTGCTCTGCGTTTAGTCTGATCGCTGTCCAGGAGAAACATTTGAGCTATAAATGAGACGTTCGGATGTTCTCTCTCACCTTGCTGATCTCAAACTTGAACACCTCCTCGAAATACGCCGGCTGACTGATGAGCAGCAGGTAAAACGTCCAGCTCCTGCAGAAGTTGGCCACGATGATGGCGTAAACAGGCATGGATGTGAAGAACTGGCGCCATGGAGTGTTGAATTTCTGCATGAGAGGAGAAGAGAGCGGAGAGAGTCGTCTGGTCCTTATGCACCGTCTTTCTAGCGTCAGTATATAAACCTGCACACGCGTGTGTTCATACCGTCACCGGGTTCATCAGTCCAGCCGATTCTCCGATGGCATCTTCGATGTACTTCCTCTCCTCCGGGGTGATGGTGGGATGAGCCGCCGGACTCTCATACGACACCAGAATCCAGAACAAATACCAGCAGATCCCGAAGCTTCCTACAGCCAGAGAGACAGAGAGAGAAGTCAAGAAACAGGCTTTGATTCTAGTGAGTGTTTCTAAGTGATCTGAACATCATAAAACATCATAAACAGATGAGATGAGTGTGTTATTAGTCTGTGTGCTGGTTTTCCTCACCGTATACGTAGAAGACTGAGGACCAGCCTGAGTACTGAACCAGAACTCCAGCTAATGGCATGGCTATCACAGCTCCTGCGTATGAACCTGACACACACAAGAAATCACACACACTCTACATGAATACATGTAAACTACACTTAAAATATGTATTAATAAATAATACAATAATACAATATTTAAAAAAAATAATAATAATAAAAAATAATTTGATTATTATTATTATTACAAACACTGAATAATCAAATACTAATAGTAATAATATTTATTAGTTCAGAATTATTTAATAATAATAAAAATAATTACTATTACTATTGAACATTGTTTATTATTATTATTATTATTATTATTAACACTGAATAACTAACGACAACAACAACAACAACAATAATAATAGTAGATTATTCAGTGTTCATAAAATTTATTATTATTATTATTATTATTAACATTTAATACCAACACTGACTAGGGAAAATAAGAACAATCACAATTATTATTATTATTAATGTTGTTGTTGTTATTATTATTATTATTATTATGAACACTCAGTAATCATATGAAAGTAAAACCAAACAGCAATAATTAAAATGATGGTTATTGACCGTTTTCCACAGATATAAAAAATAATGACCTCACCACAGAACGCTGTTGTGGCCAATCGGCTTCTCTCTAGGGGCGGGGCCCATTTCGCCCAGATCCCGTGGCATGCTGGGTAAGATACGCCCTGGGCAGCAATGACAACGACAGCAGATGAAGTCACAGACTATAATCAGAGCACTACTGTATCAGACAATGCACTCAAACTTCAGTCTCCATGTGACAAATGAACTGGAAGGCAGAAGCTAGCTTATCAGAGCATTTCATGGAGAGAGGATTGAATTGTTTTCCAGCACAGCAATAGTACTAGCATTTATTTATTTACCTCCACCAGTCCCTGTAGTATCCGGACAAAAATCACACAGCCGAAGTGTATCCGTGCTGCTGTGGGAATCATCATATTCAAGACAGACGTAGCCACGACCGCAAAGCCAAAAACCCTGAGAAGCAGAGAGACATGTGCTGTATATGAAGAGTGATTTATTCCTCTGTACACCTGTGCTCAGTGACTGCATGACTGACCTGTTAGCGGCGAATTTCTGACAGATGAAACCTCCAGGAATCTGAGTGACTATATATCCCCAAAAAAACGAGCCATGAATCATTCCTACAGTCTCTGGGTCCCAGGTGAACTGAGCTTTCTGAAACACAGACAAAGTATTTTTTTTGATGAAAAATTAAAAAACAGAACAAAAATAATAATGCATAACAAATACTGAAAAAATACTGAAAGTATAATTGCATTGCCTCAAACATGCTTAAATTGTAAAATTATGCTTTTATTAACAAAATGCACCAAATAAATCAATGTGTACTGCATTAAGCAAAATTGAAATACAAATTAACTAGTTGAGACATTTCACAATATCTGACAGTATTGTAATACTGTTTGAAAAGTTATCGTTGGTTATTATAGTTAACTAAATCTAACACCATATAAAAATATTTTAGTTTCTTGAAATTAAATAAACATTAACTGAAATAAAGTACAAAAATATTTTTTTATATTAATATTACTATATTTTATATAATATATTTTTTAATTATTATTTTATTTCAGCTAGTTGCCAGCTAGTTAGCATTTCATTTTGTTTAGCTTGATGTACTAAAATAGACATGCTTAAAAAGCTACTAAAAGTTACAAAACACAGCAAAATGGCTAAAACTTTAGAACACAAAAACAAAAACTAATTCAAACCATTACCAAGAACTATAATAGTATCTCAATACTAAAGTGGGTACTGCAAAATATGCAACAACTGGGTTGGAAATGTTACTTTTAAAAGGAACCGGTTACAGTATTGTGTTACTCATGAAAAAATAAGTTATGTTTCATTACTGCAAGTACACCTGGTTTGCTCTGAAGTGCTCAGTTTTATTTTCATTTACCAGCAGTAGCCTAAAGTTTTTGCACAACCTCAAATATGCTTAAATTGGGATATGTTGCTTTTATTAACAAAATATATCAAATAAACCAGTGTGCAGGATTTAAAGAATAAAAGGACATCAGCTATGATTTTATGCCAAACTATTCAAGGCTTATGAGCAAAATCAATCAACTTAAAAGTTTGGTCTCAGGGCAACTTACCAGGCAAAATTAGTCAAATATTATTGGTTCAATAAGCCAAAATGTTGCTAAAATACAACCTCTCTTTCTGTTTTATTTGCAAATGTTGTGGCATGTCTAAAAAATCTTTTAATATTGTATCACCAACACAGTCGCAAGATTATCTAAACACAAAGATCTGATAAAAAGCAAACGTGATAATCCAGATGAAATTTGTGACCCTGCAGCACAAAAGCAGTGTTAAGTCGCTGGGGGATATTTCTAGCAATAGCCAAAAATACATTGTATGGGTCAAAATTATAGATTTTTCTTTTATGCCAAAAATCATTAGGATATTAAGCAAAGATCATATTGCATGAAGATATTTTGTAAATTTCCTACTGTAAATATATCAAAACTTAATTTTTGATTATTAATATGCATTGCTAAGAACTTCATTTGGACAACTTTAAAGATGATTTTCGGTAACACTTTACTTGAAGGGGTGTGCATAAGACTGACATGACACATGTCATGAATATGAAGGAGGTTTTATGCATGTTTATGACAACTGTCATTAAGTGTCATTCGCTAGGTTATGTCATTTTTAATGCAAATATGACATTATTTGACCTAACCCTAACCTACCCTTACCCCTAACCATAGCCCATAACAAAGACATCTCAAACAATGTCATCTTTGCATTAAAAATTACATAACTGAGCGAATGACACTTAATGACAGTTGTCATAAACATGCATAAAAAACCTTCATATTCATGACATGTGTCATGTCTTGATTATGTAGGTGTCATGTCATGATTATGAAGGTGTCATGTCAGTCTTATGCACACCCCTTCAAGTAAAGTGTAACCTGATTTTCTCAATATTTTGATGTTTTTGCACCCTCAGATTCCAGATTTTCAAATTTTAAAAAAATTCTCGACCAAATATTGTCCCATCCTAACAAACCATACATCAACGGAAAGCTTATTTATTCAGTTTGATGTATAAATGATGCATGTATAAATCTCAATTTTAAAAAATTGACCCTTATGACTGGTTTTGTGGTCCAGGGTCACATTTTAGAATATCTATGTTAATTTGGTTGTTGGGTGTATTAAAATGTATTGCCATATCAGCTTCACAGGCTATTACATGGCAGATACAGATTCAACATTCAACAAAGAACACAATGAATGACAAAAAAAAAAAAGTGTATATACACATCTCTATAAAAGATGCAATTGTGATCAAAAGTTTTTCTAGGACCATCTTACAAAAGTTAAGTTCCTTCACATTTGTTCCGATAAAAATCATTGTTGCATGACATTAAGAATCGGCCAGACCAATAACATGTTTCATAGATATTGAAACACTGAGCTTGACACGACCAAGGCAACAGAAATGTTGTTTTAGGCCATTGAGATATACATCTATAACAAAGACATGAAACTGTGGACAGACAGTGACACTAAAGTTTTTGAGATCGACACTAAATTTGACATTCTGCAGTGAAAATAGAGTTGACGGACTCTACAGTCCTGAGGTTTGCTCTCACTTACCACAAGGTATGGCTTGCCTTCTCTATAGACGGTGTGGTTGTTCACCATGCTAACGACGGCTACTCCCAGATTACAGCGGATGCCGAAGGAGATGCAGAATCCCAGGCCTGATAATATGGCGATGATGTAGCGGCGCGGCAGACCGAAACACGTGCAGTCCACCACGGGAAGCTCCTTCTCCTCCTGCAGCTCTGGACGACCTTCTGCCGACAACTCGATCGTCTCTCCATTCTCCTGACGCTTCTCCAGAACCCTGACCAACACACACATCATCATATGAAACGCCACTAAAACCTGTGGAGAAGAAAACTGAGAAAAACCACAAGGAAAGTCTGTTCATTTGTTTCTCCTAGACAGCAATGAGATTAAATGGAGAGCAAATGGAAACGTTTGCTGTAAGTTCTTGCTTCTCAGGTTCTCCAGAGAAAAAGACTTCTAAAAAAAAAAGTCTGAAAATGTGTTCAGATTTTCCAAGAAATCAGAGTATGATCTCAGGATCTTCCAAGATATATTCTGAGCTAGTAGGCCTAAATGTAAGACTTGCGTTTAAAATTTCCATGCATTTACACAGTTTTAACCTAAACAAACTGCTAAACTTAATGTGACGCATTTGTTAGTCATGCATAAATGAAACGGGTCAGATTTCTGTAATAGTACTAGCAAAAACCTAAATGTGTTTTAAATACACAATAGCCAGCTTTATATATTTATCATCAATAAATCCAATTTGTTTCAATCTAATATATTTTAATGAATGCATTTTGATTTAAATAAAATAAAGCTAGCAAGCACATTTCATACACAATGCTAATTCAAAGTGCTTTACATTTTACATTTTTGCTTTACAAAGTGCATTTAAAGGATGTAAAATAATCATAAAATAATTACAACAGATGCATAAAAATAAAAAAATAAAAGCAAAGGAATTTTTTTAAATAAAATTTATGATTAATTTGATTTAAAATGTAAAAATAAAAGGATACATAAATAAGACAGAGTGCTATCAAACAAATGCAAATAGTTTATAATAAACGACGCCATTAAATCTGACCTGCTTCATTTAGGTACGACTGACAAATATGCATCACATTAAGTTTATTATTTTATGTTAAAACTCTGTAATCTAAATAAATGGAAAACTGATATGCGATTGAAATGCATAAATCTTAAATTTAGGCCTAAATATTTTTTGAGCGCACATTAAAAATGAATTTGCACAGCAATAATTAACGTATCCCTCTAAACTTTTACTGAATGTCAATAATTGCTTCATTTGCATCTGTTTTTATATTCGCTTTAAGGGATTTTAAGAGAAACATCTGAGACAGAGTTGAGATCTAAATGAAACATTATCATCATCATAATAATAATAATAATAAAACACTCAGTAAGTCTTCTGAGCTCTGAAAGAACAACGTCTGAGCAAGCATTTGTCTCTTGGACTATTGTAGCTTTTCAATAGACACAATATTCAACATAACAACTGCATGTTGTTAGTAAAATTAGACAATTTTAGCATTTAAACACATTTTAATGGCAAAATGTTTCTTTTGGATGTTCACCAGTGCTCATAAAACAAAAGTATGAGCTAGAAGCGAAACGTTTCCCAGTTCACATTCATAATGAACCAACGTGTCACATCAAGGACGATGCACACAATCCACTTTATTACTCAGCGTTTGAGGTTTGAGTGCATCCCTAACCCTAAATATGAGCAAACCCTCGACTTAAAGACCACAAAACGAACTATATTGTAACATTTTTATATCAGATGTGCCAAATGTGTGACCTTTAAAGTACTGAACGTCCAGATGAATCTCTGATGACTGTACAGACACGTTACAGCTCTACTGCAGCTGTACTTAAGCCCTGCTGATGAAATAATAATGCTCCTCAGAGCCTGAATTATTGATCAAACTTTCTATTTTAGTCTTTTTCTGCCTCTCTTCTCCTCCTCCATCACCCTCCCCCCTTCATCCATCCATTCTTCCCTTCTGTTCTCCTGAATCCACTCTTTATTCTCCAGTGCTTGAGTTTCTGACAGTCTCTTTTATGTTTGTAGAGGTAACTTCACTCGCTGTGAAAGAAAGGCCTTGATGGAGAGATCCTGATGGATTTGACTGAGATAATAAATACAACAATCCTGTTTAAGCTTAGTCATTAAGATGTGTAGCTGTACAATGCCAGGGTTATTATTGTTAACTAAATCTAAAATGATTAAAAACTGTTTTTGGTCCATTCAAAAAGCCGAAGTAAAATAAATTATAATTATTCGATTAAAAACTTAAATTAGAAAAAAATAGAAATGGCAACTAACTGAAATAAGTTTGAGCTGAAGTAAACTAAAATGACTAACTGAAAAGAAATAAATGAAACCTAAACAGTAATATTTAAAAAATAAAAAATTACAAATAAAAAAGAGAAACTAAATTAAAACAAAAACTGAAAATTCTAAATATTAATAGTATACTATAAAAAAATATTATAGTACACTGTAAAAAAAAAAAAAGAAAGATTATTGGAATACAAGAAAATATTATTTCAGTCTTTCTACTTCACAATTTCATGCTGAATACAATGATACTTTCCGTAAAATTGTTTATATGCCAAATTTTTCTTTCATTGTATGCATTGTATATCAAGATAAAAATAAAATAAATTAAATATAAAAAAGATAAACAAAAAATTTAATTGTATACTATTAAAATATTATAGTACATTGTACTATGCAGTGAATTCTGATTTGTTCTGTTCTTCTTTTTGTTTTTTAATTAAACAGATTTATTTGCAGAACAAGCTACTAAAACTAGCAACTATTTCAAAGTAAATCCTACACAACATTTTTTTTCATGGTAGATTTAGATATCAGATATCCTGAATTCTCACACATTTCTGCTGATTTTCAGGTGCTGGTTACCTTGTGTCATTTCATATATTATTAATTTAAAATGATTGTAGTTTAATTTCATATTCAAGTTTACCGACCAAAGAAGAGAGTACAATAGCGAATGCATATGTTGCTGGTCACTTTATGTGTCAGTCACCATCACTTCCCATCTAAACCTGCGGTTCCTGTCCAGAATAAGCTGTAAAGTGGACCAGATTTCTGCTAAAGGTCAAAAGTCTGGCGAGACACTTTTATCTGACGGGACACTGGAGTAAAGTAGAGTTAAGTGCCTTGATTAAGGCTCATATGGCACAAAACCTGAGCTTTACCCCTACACCACACCACGATAATCAACAAAGAACAGTTTTAACCACAGTGGAAAGAATAGGCATTAAAGCCAGACAAGCATGGCATCATCTCGTGAGCAGACAGAGTTATAAGTTTCTATCATCGCTGAAGGAGTGTGTTTTGGCTGATATAATAACCTGTTGATCTGATTTGATGTGATTACAGAGGAATCGATGCTCAAGAGAGAGATATGTAACAACATCCTCACATTGTCCAGGAAGAACTAACAGTTTAATGACACTGTCCAGACTAGTGATAGCAGCCATGACATGGACGACTGACTGCCGGGACTTATGGGCCTTTCCAGGAGCGAGAGCGAGCGAGAGAGAGAGAGAGAGAGAGAGAGAGAGAGAGAAAGAGGATTTAACCAGCAGCAGGTTAGTTGGAGATCTATTTCAGGACTGGATTTACAGTCTTATTAAGACTGCTCAAAACCAAGAGAAACAGACAGAGAGAGAGACTGTGAGATGTGTTTTTCTCCGTATGCTAATGAAAAGCTGATTCCGTCCTTACAAGCGTAAACACTGTTTTAAATGACTAACATATTCATATTTTTATATCCATTTAAATATGAAGGCTTTTTATCATTGGGGATAAAAAAAGAGCAGTACTTCAATCTTTAATCAAGTTCATTATAAATGAACATGTTTTTTTACATCTGGCAGGAAGCTATAATGCAGACATATCAATCGCCTTTAGTATTCCTGTAATTATTCAACTGAATCAAATATCATATCATATTTTGAATATCGTTAATTATTAGCCATTAATACTTCACCAGTATTTATTACAAAAAAGTCACATAATTTACTGTTGGCCTGTGATTGTACAGAAAGTTGACTTTTTGCTTTATATGACCATCTCCATGTCAGTTCACTTAAATTTTTTTGGCACTGAATTATATTCTTAATCTAAAATGATCTAAAATGTATTACAAATGCATTATTTACAGATAAGATATAGTTCTTTTGCACTACATACGAACACTGTTTAGCTTTTCCAAATAATAATGCAATTTTGAGGGAGGCATCACTTTATAATAAACATAATAACATGTCAAATACTGTGATTTAAAATATGCATAAATATATATCATGCATATTGTAAATATATATTAGAAAACAAACTCTGATTTAAATGTGCATTTAAGTCATCATACATTAAGGTAATATATGTTGAGTAGTATTTAGACTAAAGAAAAATGTACCACCATTCATAAACACATCAAAGTCAGCATCTTTAGACAGCCAAGATGCAGAACGGAAGTGGTCACCTGACAGGTGAAATGTGACGACTCAAACCGGACAAGAGTCGCTATTAATAGAGTCCAGTCGAGTTAATCTGGTCGTCCCGAACACACGCGTTAAAGACACACACACACTACACAAAAAACTACACACATGAAGATCTCAACTTATGATGACAGAACCAAACACCAGCACTGAAAGACTGACATAAATCATATCTTCATCTTCAGTATGTCTATGGTGTGTGCTGACGGTCATGTAGTAGTGCACTAATCCACCGGCTTCCATCGACTTCACTTCATTTTTACATTAAACGCTCTCATAAACCGCAACTAAACCGTCTTTGTCAGAACTAAGCAATCTCAATGCTTTAAATGTGCATTATTTAGACGTTGCACTGATAATATGAACATATAAACCAGCTTTGGGATTATTATATATTTTTTTTAAGTTGAATGAAGTTTTGGCTCTTACCGGTTTATCCTTCCAAGTGTTTTCGCCGCTGCTGCTTTAAAGCGCTCAGGTCGGACCTCCATCCTCTACAACTCCACCGCGGGACCGACCGGGACTCTGCGCTCTCCTGCTCTCCTGCGCACACACACACGCACTCAGCCTCCCCCTTCCACCCACCCACACACACACTAATACTCTCTCTCTCTCACACACACACACACACACACACACACACATAAACTTCAAATGTTTAGATTCCAGGAACGGCATTCCCCAAGGAATACCAGTCGATCGATTCATGGAAAATATGCAATAGAGACAATGAAATCAGCATTAGTGAGTCTAAACAACTTTATTTTGCGACTTGCATCAAGCAAACGCTGTCACAGAGTGAGAGAAACAGCTGAAGTGGTTAAACGGAGTTCAGAGCCGCTGTGGTCTGATGAACATGGATGGAGGTCTGGTGTCCGTGAGTGTCACTGTCCGAGGTGCTGAAATGAGATTCGAGTAAATCTGCAGGTGCGAAGCGCCGCGTGCTCACACACACACACACTCTCTCTCTCTCTCTCACACACACACACACACACACACACACACAGAGACTATTGTTAATCCACAGGGCAAATGAGAGACACTCTTAGTGGACACAATATGCAACTACAAAAAACCGACAACACGAGAACAAGAGCTGAAAATTAGTTTTACCAGCTAACAAAAATGTATTCTAAAATATATATATATATATATATATATATTAAGTTCAGAACGTTCTTTTTTAAAATTGTTTTACTAATTTATGTCATCATATATTAAGGTCAAATATGTTAAACAGTACACTAAAAAATGCTGGGTTGTTTTAACCCAACTTTGGGTCAAATATGGTACAGGTTTGTTTGAGAGTGATGTGGTCGTGCTGATCAGAGGTCAGTTCTGTTTCTTCTGCTGGGTCGGTGTTGATCGGATTCGGACCCAAACACACACTCACACACACCACCAACAGCGTCCACTTCAGCATACTGCAAACACAGACAGAGAGAATCGTTACAACAAACAAATGTGCCTGATCTAGAAGAATAAATGAGAATGAGAGCAGAGCTGCTTGTGATCCAGCAGACTCCCAGTGTCCACTAGTGGCAGACAGCAGAACAGCACTCCTCTGAGACTCATTTACATGCTTCCTTTCCTTTAGTAGCTCACATAATGACTTGGAAATACATGATTATTTACTGTCAGTGTTAAAACTAAAACCAACTAGTAAAACTTAAATATCAATAAAATTCAATATTAGATGAAAAACTTGGCATCTAAATGAATGAATAAAAATAAAGAACTAAAAATACTAAAACTGAAATAAAAAGAAAAAGGAATAAAAATGACAAAAGCATAAAAAACTAAAATGAAAAGTATAATAAAAATAATTAAAATATGATTAAATATTATAATAGTATATAAATCTTAATAAAATAACACTATAATACAACATATTCAAGCGAAACCATGAATAATTTGTACATCATTCAGAAAAGTTTTCTTCTTTAACGGCAGGCAGTGATCGGTGCGTTGGATCTTATTCTGCTCTAAACACAAACACATACAGAAGTGTTAAAAACTGTCTAACCAGATACAGTTAGCAAGACTCTCTCAAATAGAGGACATGTGGGTAAGAAGTGTAACACTTTTGCACAATTTGCGCCGACTTTACATTTTATAAGGGCCCAGCTGCCTGTGATTGAGAGATGCACACAAGAAAAGTGCTAGGAATATTTATTTTTGCACATAAAAACAATTATGCATAGCAAGGAAAATTTGTTACACAGCAAATTTATCTAACATTAAAATAAAACAGAATAAAATACTTTGGGGTATAATTTAAATATTTATACACAAAAAAATTGTATCGTGTCATTTATGTTTCACTTTTAAATAAAAATAAAGAACTAAAAATACTAAAACTGAAATAAAAAGAAATAAAAATGACAAAAGCATAAAAAACTAAAATGAAAAGTATAATAAAAATAATTTAAAATATGATTAAATATTATAATAGTATATAAATCTTAATAAAATAACACTATATTACAACATATTCAAGCGAAACCATGAATAATTTGTACATCATTCAGAACAGTTTTCTTCTTTAACGGCAGGCAGTGATCGGTGCGTTGGATCTTATTCTGCTCTAAACACAAATACATACAGGAGTGTTAAAAACTGTCTAACCAGATACAGTTAGCAAGACTCTCTCAAATAGAGGACATGTGGGTAAGAAGTGTAACACTTTTGCACAATTTGCGCCGACTTTACATTTTATAAGGGCCCAGCTGCCTGTGATTGAGAGATGCACACAAGAAAAGTGCTAGGAATATTTATTTTTGCACATAAAAACAATTATGCATAGCAAGGAAAATTTGTTACACAGCAAATTTATCTAACATTAAAATAAAACAGAATAAAATACTTTGGGGTATAATTTAAATATTTATACACAAAAAAATTGTATCGTGTCATTTATGTTTCACTTTCAATTTCCATTCAAAGCAGACCAAAAAAGAGTGAACATTAGTTTTAAGTCGGTCCTATTTCCAATGAAATCAATGTAAATGTGAGTGCCACCTCTCATGCATGTTCTTTCATTCTAGATTGATATTCTTCTCTTGATGTGAAAGCAGGTTCTTTGCATTAGAAATAAGCAAGCTGGTGCATTAAGTCAATAAGATCCTTTCAGCTGTTGATCTGATGTGAATCAGAGGTCATGTGCTTGAAAGCATTTAACATATTTACATTCTGAACAATTCAATAATTGAACAAATAAATCACACTTCAGGGTTCAAAACAAGACCCCACGCTCAGATACAGCAGGTGAGCAGCACACTAAAGATTCTTCTAATCATTCGGATTTAAACCTTTTTCCACCTACCTGATCTCTGTTTCTAGGAAGTTTTCTTCTCCGGTGATTTGTGTCTTTCAGCTGCGCTGAGCATCACTTTGTTTGTGGATCATCTCTTTCCAGGGTGGAGCTTCACACCATAACAACCAAAGTCCCAGGACCATTAGCTCTCACACACACACACACACACACACACACACACGTGACGACCAGCACAAAAACAGCTAGAGGACGGCAGAATCACGATATTTACATTCTGAACAATTCAATAACAAATAAATCACACTTCAGGGTTCAAAACAAGACCCCACGCTCAGATACAGCAGGTGAGCAGCACACTAAAGATTCTTCTAATCATTCGGATTTAAACCTTTTTCCACCTACCTGATCTCCGTTTCTAGGAAGTTTTCTTCTCCGGTGATTTGTGTCTTTCAGCTGCGCTGAGCATCACTTTGTTTGTGGATCATCTCTTTCCAGGGTGGAGCTTCACACCATAACAACCAAAGTCCCAGGACCATTAGCTCTCTCACTCACACACACACACACACACACACACACACGTGACGACCAGCACAAAAACAGCTAGAGGACGGCAGAATCACGATTTGAAATCTTTAAAAAAAAATGCAAATCTTGAAAAATGCTTAATCTTTAAAAATAATAAAATATACAAAATGTAAAGCTCTTTGTATAACTATACACACTTCAATTTCTTTTTAATTTAAAAGAAAATAAATTAAATATAAAAAACATTTTTAAACAAATAAATCATAAAATGTATCATTACACTAAGATGTTTTACTAAAGTTACTTAAGATTTTTGTACATATAATTTTCAGTGATGATTTATATAACTGTAAATCAAACATTCAAGTATTAAAACACTAAAACAAATACGAGTTATAAATGTAAACAATTTTTTAAAATACTTTTTAACATTAATCATTAGAATTACAGGGGAAAACTGTAGTGAAATATATATATGCCTACACACGCAAATTAATTTCCCTTCATGCCAATTAAAAAAAAGAAATAAAAATCCAGATGTTTACAACCCAGACAAGAGATTCACCTTTATACAGAGAAAGAAAACCAAAGCCATAAGTCAAATAACAATTTATACAGAAACAAGATCATCATGAGGCAAACTGTACAAAATGTCTGTTTGTCCGGTCCGGAACAGCATGAGCATCAAACAAGCGTTCACACAAACCGAAGACTTTAGAAACAAGTTTCTGACTTTGACAGAAAGCAAGAGGAGGAAATACTGACACTATACTGTAGCAAGACAATAAAATTACCCTTCAAGATCAGAGATTTCTCAAGTATACTACATGAGGAATAGAATTAAATAACACCATTTCATCATATATATATATATATATATATATACATATTTCTGACCAGAACAAACTACTTACAGGGAGTTCAATCTACTGAACAAACACAGAAGACCCATCAAACCCCTGTGAGAGGCAAAGATAATGTTACTTCACAATGACTACAAGTCATAAAATGTCTGGCCTGCTTGTCGCTTTTAGAAACATGTCCGAGACAGTGTTTGGAAAAATAAAGAGAGGGGATATTTTACACATAAAAACAAGCAACAAATATTTCTGTACAATATAAAATTAACAATCTATAAAATTGTTCCAAAAATGCTGTATTAAATACTTCATAAGAAAATCACATGTCACATACAAACTATGACTGGAAGCAAATTTGAAAAATGTCTGTTTTATGATGGCTGTAGTTGGGGCTTAAAAAAATAAAAAAATAAAAAATAAAATAGAAGAACAGAAGGTTACAAAAATAAATAAATGTTTTAAAAATCCAATAGCATTTTTTCCTCACAAAGAAATGTCAGTCATATTTTGCATAAACAAATACGTCTATTTTTAAGACCATTAAGATGAAATATGACCGACACATTTCTGCTTGGAAAAGCACACAGTTTTCCATGTTGTAAGACTCTGGATTTGTCCAGGTCTCAGTTATGACTGATTTAATGATTCAAATGGTCTTTTGAACACACAATGTACCACTTTACACTCACTTAAATAATGACACTAAACACAGAACACATCAGAATGAACCAACATTAACCCTCTGATGCTATAGAGGTCAGAAAAGTCATTATTAATGACCTTGTAGAATCGTAGAGTTCAAATAAGGCCGGTTTCACACCGCAAGCGTGAGCAGCGCATACTTTCTCAGCTTGCATGTTAACAAATGAGTGCATTCACACTGGTAGCAGGAGTGTCAGGTGAGCAGCTCACACGCAATTAAAGTGTATATGTGAAATCATATTTATTTTGTTCAGTGTTAAAAAAAAAAGCAGCACAGAATAAGCATATCTAGTGTGTTTTAACAAGAATTGTAGTATGTCAAAAGAAAATGAAGATTTACCCATTTAAACTTGTCTTTAATTATTCAGGTTGGGTTCAAGTATGGTGTAATATTTAAAAAACATTAAACAGCACGTTCTATTTCGAAGTATGATTGAAACGACATGATCGGAGCAGTTTTTGTCGTTTACCATTTACATGCGAATCCCCACGATAAAATTTCAAAACTTTCAAGTTTATAACTGACCAACCTCTAAAAACAAATTTAGTTGTCTTTGTGAAGAAATGTGTAGCTTTGGAGCCGCTGCTGTGACGCTGTACGCGTCAGGTGAGCAGCTCACACGCAATTAAAGTGTATATGTGAAATCATATTTATTTTGTTCAGTGTTAAAAAAAAAAAGCAGCACAGAATAAGCATATCTAGTGTGTTTTAACAAGAATTGTAGTATGTCAAAAGAAAATGAAGATTTACCCATTTAAACTTGTCTTTAATTATTCAGGTTGGGTTCAAGTATGGTGTAATATTTAAAAAACATTAAACAGCACGTTCTATTTCGAAGTATGATTGAAACGACATGATCGGAGCAGTTTTTGTCGTTTACCATTTACATGCGAATCCCCACGATAAAATTTCAAAACTTTCAAGTTTATAACTGACCAACCTCTAAAAACAAATTTAGTTGTCTTTGTGAAGAAATGTGTAGCTTTGGAGCCGCTGCTGTGACGCTGTACGAATGCTTCCAGTGTGAATCCGCTGGCGAGTCTGCAGTGATGCTGTAGCTACACTGACGCGAAGCTCACGCTTGCAGTGTGAAACAGGCGTAACACTGATGGGTCAAACCCATCAACACCTTTATGCAAAAAAAATAACCTTGTCAGATAACTAAAGCAGCAGAACCATCAGTTACCAACTGATTTGACCGTTGTAACGGGTAACTATAGTGTTGCTTTGTTGTTCAGCGTTCACCTGGACCCACCACATGCAGGTACGGCTCAGCGGTTCCATTATTATGCTGTACTTAAAGCCACAGTTCACTGGAAAAAGGAAACCGTCATCAGCCGCATATAAAGAGTTTTCACATGTAACAGGTCTAAACGGAGATGTAAAACTGAGATTTGAGAAGCCAAGACTTTCACAAAGACTTCGAATATAATGCAAAATTAATTTCAGAGCTCAACAGATGTCAACTACCGTTAAAAGGAAAAGAGCAGCCTGTACAAACAGTTAAATAACTCCACAAGATCATCTGTGATGTTTTGAGTGAAACTGATGACAATTTTCTTTTTTGCAATGAACTAACACCTAAAACAGTTATTTTTGTGCCCGTATGCACAGACAGAAATGATTGTTCCCAAAAGCAAAGTACAATAATAAAATGGTCTTGATTTAAATAGATCCTTCTGAGATGTAAACTCTATAACGTAGTTTCTTCTCATAACACACTACTTGATTCGAAGTGTTCAATGTGGCCGTTCGGCAAACGAGTGTCATGGTTTTCATAAAGCAAAGGGGAAAATGAATTGGGGTCATCTCCTGAAGGTGGTAACGTGCTGAGAGGGGTCAGGTCTATGTCTGTGGTGGCACACGGCACGTATCCCGCCTCAGTGTCTGCCGGCGACTGGCCGAGCCGTTCCAGGAGGAGGGAATGTATGAATCCGATAGGAACAGGAAGAAATGCAACAATGATGAGCGTGCTCAGGACAGCAAGAGCCCAGCCAGGATAAGGCAGATTTTCCTTAGACGCCTGGGAGAACATTTGGGATAGAGCAATGTTAATTAACTCTGTAAAACCTGACATATGAAACAGCAGTCAGAAAAATAATAATAATAGTAATAATAAAACAGACCGTGTATTGAACCTTCAGACAAAAAAATATGCAAGTGTATCATATTTGACGCAGTCTTTTATGGTTAATATAGTATGATGAACATGGAGGGAAAAAAAACATCTCAAATTTATTCAGAAGCCCAAACGGAGCAAAAATATACAATTTGGTGCAGAAGCTGATATTTATATGGACAAAAATTAGGGTAAAATTCTGATAGGTTGTAATGCAAATCAATGAGATCTTTATAACCGCATAGCAGACTACTTGCATAAAATGCAAATAAATATTAGTTGTAATTCTATATCTCCCAATAATGTCTTAGTGAGATTTTAATGCTTAGCATTTCGATCAAAGCTCTGTAGTTTCAAAACATATAATGCAATGCAACACAAAGATGATTGATGATTGAACGAATAAGCATTCCTCAAAATCCTGATGATCATATTTAACACTCATATTTGAACAATTTTACTAAAAAAAGATAGATAATAAAGTAAACCAAAGTTGCTACGGTCTTGAAATATTACCAACAATATCAAAGTTACTCTTAAGTTTACTTTACAAAAAAAACATCAGATTTCACAGCAAAAAAAAAACACAAGAACCGCAAACCGAAGGTGGACGTGGACATAAAAGGCATTATACTTGGTTAAAAAAAAAAAAAAAAAGTCTAAACTATTAAAACAGATGAAGTAGTAGATTGTTTGCAACAGGTTTGATCGTGCTGATCATTCAGAGGCCTTAGAAATCTGCACATCAAATGATACAGCAGGCTTGATACGGTCAAAGTTTAAAGTAAAGGTTTACTTGCAAGAGCACACATGTGATTTTACCTTTTCTCTGTTCCAGGCGGTGTATGTGGGACGCTCCAAGATCATCTTTAGCAGACTGGCACCTAAGAGCCCCAGCATAGCAGCCGGACACACATATTTCCACAGGTACTTGTACACCACAGGAACCGGCCGATCCAACATCCGCTTCAGGTCCTCCAAAAACCTGCATTAAAAATACATTGCGTTTATGCACATTAAACCACAAATAAACCCACTTCTGCTCGCACTGTGATACCTGTCCGCTCCATAAACCCAGGCCACGCTCAAGGTCTGAAAGATGACGACGATGATGAGGGGAAGAGTGGCAGAATAGTCATCAAACATCGTCACAAAGTAGTTTCCACAGCGCTGAGTGAACGTGAGACCGATCAGAAAGCCCACCACACAGCTGCATGCTGGGAGAGATGGGAAAAAGACAAAATAATGATCAGACAGACCAATCACAGGGGTGATACGTACACGCAAAACACAACACAACTGATTACAACCAAGAGACAGACACAATTCGGTCAATGCCGGGTGGTGCAGAGACAACAATCTCTCTCTGAATGTGGAGAAGACGAAGGAGATTGTTGTTGATTTCAGGAGAGTGTGCACTCAGCATGCTCCTCTGACCATCAATGGTGCGACTGTGGAGAGAGTGAGCAGCACCAAGTTCCTGGGTGTGCACAATATATATATACTCTCCTGGACTTACAACACCGCAGCACTAGCCAAGAAAGCACAGCAGTGTCTCTACTTCCACCACAAACTGAGAAGAGCCAGAGCCCCGGCCCCCATCATGTGCACCTTCTACAGAGGCACCATCGAGAGCATTCTGATGAGCTGCATCACTGTGTGGTATGGTGCCTGCAAAGCGTCCTGCCGCAAGTCACTTCAACGCATAGTGAGAGCAGCTGAGAAGATTGTTGGTGTCTCTCTACCCTCCCTCCAGGATATTTATGGAACCCATCTCACCCACAAAGCCCTCTGCATTGCAGGTGATCCCACCCACCCGACACACAGCTTCTTTAGTCTGCTGCCATCAGGGAGGAGACTGCGGAGTCTCCAGGCCAGGACCAGCAGACTGAAGGACAGCTTCATTCATCAGGCTGTCAGGAAGCTGAACTCCCTCCCGACCTTGCCCCCCTCCCCTCTTTTGCCCCACGCACCACTGAACTCTGAACCTCAGACCGTTTGGTAACGGTACGGTTCACTTGGAACCCCAACCGAAGTGGCACTAAAAAAAGTACCAGGTACCGTACCCAGTGGAAAACCCCCCAAAACTGAACCGTACTGAGCCGTACCGTGCCGTACCATTCAGTGGAAAAGCGCCATTTGTGCAGCATTGGTCTGCTCACTACCTCATTCAGCATTGAACTGACCTCATTCAACTACCTCTTCTGACAGTTTAAATAAAAAAAAACTGCTCTGAGCTTTTTGTCACTTTAATCAAAATAAGTTATTTTGCACTACAATCATTATATCTGCACTGTTTGTTTACTTCACTGGTTTGCAATCTATCTGCCATGTGCTGCTTTATTTATTTTTTTTTACATGACCTTATTTGTATAGTTGTATTTTATATTTAATCTGTATCTATCTGTATTTTATGTTCTACTGTTAGTGTTATCTGTATGCACCAAGGGTCTTTTAAAGGGTCAATTTAAATTCTCTGTATGTATGTGCTGTACAGTGGAAGAATTGACAAAGCAGACTTGAACAATTCAAAGATAAACCCAAATATACATTAACAAAGACACAAGAGCAACAGAACAAGAGCAACAGGGTGAGAGTGTTACCTGTAAAGAGGAATTTGTGGTTACGCAGGGTCTTAAACGTGTCCGTCAGCGGGGTCAGTATTCCAGCCATGGTGCCAAACATGGTGGACAAACCCAGATTGAGCAGCATGAGGAAGAACAGCGCCGACCAGAACGGACTCCCAGGAAACAGCGTCATGGCTTCAGTGAACGCTATGAACGCTAAACCAGTTCCCTCCACACCCTGAGAGAGAAAGACAAGATCGCAAACTTTAACTTAAGCATTAAGCGGAGTCATTCTTAACCAAAGAAATACTGTGCAACTAAGCATAACTACAGATGTATTCATATTTTAGACCTAGCAACCACCCAAAACATTCCAATAATTCCCTAGCAACCACCCAACATTCCAATAACCTAGCAACCACTCAAAAACAAAGCAATACCCCAGCAACCACCCAGAACATTCCAATTATGCTCTAGCAACCACCTAAACCTTTCCAATAATACCCTAGCAACCACCCAGAACATTCCAATAACTTAGCAACCACTCAGAAGTAAAGCAATACCCCAGCAACCACCAAAACATTCCAATAATACTCTAGCAACCACTCAAAACAAAGCAATACCCCAGAAACCACCCAGAACATTCCAATTATGCTCTAGCAACCACCCAAAATATTCCAGTAACCTAACAACCACTCAAAACAAAGCAATACCCCAGAAACCACATAAAACTTTCCAATAATGCCCTAGCAACAACTCAAAAAGCAATACCCTAGAAACCACCCAAAACATCAAGCAATGCAATAGTAAAGAATGTTTTGCACCACTCACGTTCTCTTCAGAAAATATAAAACATCTAGTTCTGTTCTGTACCTGTTTAAGCTCGTCCTCCAGGCTGCAGGCGGTGATGTTGTAACCGGGGATATTCAGCTGCTGGCCCTGAATCCTGTACCAGTCCTCATACTCGTTCAATGTGATGCTCTCCACATCCGATGCATTGATGAGGAGGTCAGGGAGTTGAGTGCTGGACATCGCTTCAAACACGGCCTTCACGTTACTGCAACATACACAAACATGCATACAGCTAAACATCTTAAAGCTTCTGGAAAATATACGTAAAGGTACTTCAGGCATTATAATATGTTTTAAGATCAAACATTAACAAACATTTTTACTGACCGTTTAACACACTCTGTGGCAATGGTTTTGGCTCTGAAGCCCAGCACAGCAAACACCACCAGCGTGGCCAGAACAGACGTCATGAAGTTGACGCCAGACACGGTGAACGCATCTCGATGGCAGTTGTTGTTCCGCGGGTTATAGGAAGAATATGCGATCACAGAACCGAAACCCAAACCCAGAGCAAAGAAGACCTGAGTCGCCGCCTGACGCCACACTTGAACGTCAGCCCAGATCTCCAGCTGAGAGAAATCAACCACAACAGAACTCACTTTGGGAATCTGATTGTGAACGGCTTCAGAGTTACACTAAACATATCGCACGATAATATAAGAAAAATAGATTAATTTTGAGCAATATTATTATTGTTAACTAAAAACTGAAACTGTTAAAAACATGTGTAAGTAATTGAAATAAAATAAATGATAAATATTAGAAAAAAATTAGAAATGTTGGCAACTAAAATAAGTTTAAGTACTGAAATTACTACAACTAAAAGTGAAATAAAAATAAAGCTAAATACATCTTTAAAAAAAACTAAAAATGTATGTGCTATGAAGGCAAAATTACTCAAATTAAAAAATAAAACTTGATCCAAAATATTAACAGTACTTAGTACATAATACTATTGTAAAACATTTTTCAAAGTTGAAATTAAACAGATTATTAGAGTATGTTTTACATATTTTTCTACTTAAGTTTCACCTTAAATTCAATGTGTTACTGGCCATTTATTTGTAAATGTAAATTTACTAGCAATTTCTAAGTGAAAACTATTTCTACACCAGTTTTTTCAGTGTATATAACATGACAATACTGAGAGAAGACACCATTTTGGTGATAGTTTTTATGGACTATGGCAGGGGTGGCGAACTCCGGTCCTGGAGAGCCGCAGCCCTGCAGAGTTCAGCTCCAACCCTAAAACTCACCTGCCTGTAGCTTCCTAGTAACTGTTCAGACCTTGATTAGCTTGTTCAGGTGTGTTTGATTAGGGTTGAAGCAAAACTCTGCAGGGCTGCGGCTCTCCAGGACCGACGTTCGCCACCCCTGGACTATGGTGTCTAATTAATACATTTTCCCACATTCTGAACCTCAACTCAACATGCAGCTTAAAAAGTCATGCAATTATCTACATACCCTGGGGTAAAACATGAATTTAATGCCCTCGGACGCCCCGTCCAGCGTCACGCCTCTGATCAGGAAACACAGCAGCACAACGTACGGAAACACGGAGGAGAAATACATCACCTACACACAACAGATACTGATCAATACCATCAATAATCAAATTACAACACAGTAC